GCGCGCCTGCGCCGTGACTTGACTCTCGGATGCCCCGGGGTCTCAGGCTTTTTGATTTAGGGTTTAGGGTTTAGGGTTTAGGGTTTAGGGCTTAGGGTTGGGGTTTAAGGTTTGTAGGTTTTACAGTGTGGTTTTGGGTTTAGAACTTGGGGCTTGTAGGTTTATAGGGTTTAGGGTTTGTAGGCTTGTAGGATTTTCGGGTGTTTGTAGGTTTATAGGGTTTAGGGTTTTGGGTTTGTAGATTTATAGGCTTTAGGGTTTATGGGGCTTGTAGGCATGATTGGGTTCGCGGCTTGTGCAAATTTAGCTTAGTAGCGCAGGAACCATCGTAGAATAAGAGTACTGTGTTTGGGTTGGGTGCTTTATAAGGGAACCCATAACAGTCCTTCCTAGGGAATTATCATAGGGGGTACTGTAATCCCTACTAATGACTGCTAGTACAAGGGGGAAAATCCCAACCTACAACCCCGTAAAAAGGCCCTTTGTAGGGTTGATTGTATTGTGGGGATTATACCCTTTTACCCCTTAAAAGAGGCCCTTTCTAAGGGGTCACGGTTTAGGGTTTAGGGTTTAGAATTTAGGGTTTAGGGTTTAGGGTAAAGGGTACCACTGGGCTACCAAGCTAGGGTTTGGCGCCGGCGATGCTCCGAAGACCTTCTGGGCCCAGGCTCCGCGGAATACCAGGGTGCGCCGTCCGCACCCGAAACCCTAAACCCGACACCCGAAACCCTAAACCCCAGACCCCCAAGGAGTTGACGGCTGCATGGGTTGAAACCAACTATTGGGGATTTGAGACCTGGCTTGTGTGGACTCGGGCTACCGGCTACCGTCAGCTTCTTGGAGTAAGTCGCCCTAAACCCTAAACCCTAAACCCTAAACCCTAAACCCTAAACCCTAAACCCTAAACCCTAAACCCTAAACCCTAAACCCTAAACCCGAATGAGGCCGTAGCATGCTTTAGGATTTAAAGAGGGTGTAGGGATTAGGGTTTCGGGCTTGGGGTTTTGGATGTTTGCCAGTATGAAAAGTGAATTCTGAATACATTAATCAGGCAGTCGCTTCAGAATGCACATGGTCAATAGAGGAACGTCAAAAACACATGCCCAACATGCTAGCCCTTAAAAGGCCTGCACAAGCCTGATCTACCCTCAACGACTTTTGTGGTCCCGAATGGCCCCGGCATGTACATAGCAAAGGTCCCTTTTCTAGGATCCCATGAAGGCTGTCCCCCGGTTCGGTTCTCCATAGTCAAACCTCAGATTCTCTAACCCCAAACCCAGCCACCAGAACCCGACGCAGCAGCTGATTCGTAGTCCCAGCTGAATGAACAGCTAAAGATTAGGCATGGATTTCCCGTTTCTGGTCTTTCGGGCGTGTCTAGGGTTTCGGGTCGCTTTAGGGGCTAGGGCCTATTGTTTAGGGTTTAGGAAGGTCTGTCGCCTGAGCAAGGCCGCCCACACTCAGAGGATGATCCACCTGCCATGTGCGGTTTAGGGTTTAGGGTTTAGGGTTAGGGTCTAGGGTTTAGGGTTTAGGGCTAGGGCTGGGGTTTTTTTGTCTCAGGCTTTAGGCTTAGGATTTAGGGAGTTCGAGCACTGAAGCTTAGACTCCAAAGGGCGCGAGGCACAGCTAACCGCATGCACGCTGAGCAACACCAAAGCCGTGAGTTCAACCTGTCCAAAACCCTGAACCCCTGAACCCCAGACCCCCAAAACCCCAAACCCAAAACCAGGGGGTCCATTTGTTATTTAGGGGCTACTTAGGTTTTCTTGGGACTATAAGGTTTACATCATGTAGATTGATATATATATATATGTATACACATCTGTATATAGGGGTTAGAAAAGGGCAATTAAGATTACGGGTCCCTTCTAGGGGTCCCTCCTTATCCCCCTTGAACCGTGGCGCGCTCCCTGGGTTCGGCTGCCTATCCTCGGGCCCTGCGCGCACTTCGGTTTAGGGTTTAGGGTTTAGGGTTTAGGGTTTAGGGTTTAGGGTTTAGGGTTACCCAGCAGCCAAACCCTAAACCCCCTGAACCGCAAACCCCGAACTCTAAACCCGAGTAATTACAGTATTCAGAGGGGCTTGGGATCTAAACCCTATTGCAGTATTCAGGGGGATTTGGGATCTAAACCCTAAAGCAGTATTCAGGGGGTTGGGATTTAGGTTTAGAGGGCTTCATTAGAGGCTTTCGGGGCCTCGAACCCTAAACTTTACACGGTCCCGAAACGCTCACGCGCAGGACCTGGTTCAGCTTTCCTGCATGGTTGAGGGCGTTGCCAACGTGCTTCAGCCCGCCTCGCCTCAGGTGCGCGCGCAGCTCAGGGTTTAGGGCCTAGGGGTTATAAGGGCTTTAAGAGTTTGACTACTCATTTCTTAAGAGCCCCTCCCAAACATGTTTTTCCTTATAAGGGCCATATAGGGACCCGGAAGTATGTCCTTTGATGTTTTGAGGGTTCTTAAGCAAATAGTAGGTAAAGTTTAAAGGTTCAAGGGTTTAAGGGTTGAGTTTTTGGAGTTGAGGGGTCTAGGGCTTGGAAGAGTAGGAGTCTAGCGGTCTGAGGGTGGCAGCAGGGGCTTAGGGGTTTTGAGTTCCTCAAACCCTAGAGTCCTAAACGCTATTACTGAAACTCTAGACCTAACTCTACACCCCAAACCCTAAACTAAACCAGCACGTCTTCGGCCCAGCTTCTCATGAGTTCGAAGCCTTCCAGACCGTACGAAGAGAACACTCTCTCGAAATCTTCTCCGCTGGGGAAAACGGGGACGTCTACTTTGTGAGCAGGGTTTCGGGTTTAGCGTTTGGGGTGTAGCGTGTTTTTGCTTAGGCTTTTTAAGGCTTAGGACTTGGGGTTTACGCATTTCCAACCAAGCCACAACCCTAAATCCACCCTAAACCCTAAACCCTAAACCCTAAACCCTAAACCCTAAACCCTAAACCCTAAACCCTAAATTTGAAACCCTACCAACCCCACCATCCGACCCCCCAAACTCCCTACACCTTCCCAGGGAGACCTTCCCAGAGACTCCAAAACCCAAAACCCAAAACCCAAAACCCAAAACCCAAAACCCTAAACCCTAAACCCTAAACCCTAAACCCTAAAACCCTAAACCCTAAACCCAATTAAGGAATATCCCTTAAATCAAAATAGGAACCCGAATATGAGTTGAGGGATGTTCCTGAACTAAGGGGTTTTGGGGTCACTGGGTTCCCAGGGAAATCTGGGGGCACAAATACTACGTAGACAGCTGTCTAGCTCTGAATATCGATTCTATGGCTACACGGAGCCTGTGCACTGATCCCTTAACCGCCCTAAACCCTAAACCCTAAACCCCAAACCCCAAACCCTAAACCCTACCCTAAACCCTAACTAAAGCCCCAAATTCTATGGGAACGATTGGCCCCCTTGAGGCGCTCGCACTCCCTGCCAGAATCCCCCGCCGCTCTGCTTCGTGTCCGCCTTGCCACATTTCGAGCCCAGGACCCTGGGTTTAGGGTTTAGGGTTTAGGGTTTAGGGTCTAAACCCCAAACCCTCAAGCCCCTGTAACTTGAAGCTATTCAAGACCGAAAACGCAACTCCTCGCAACTTTCCCCCCAAAAGCCGAAACCATCTAAGTTTAGGGTAAACTTGGGGTTTAGGGTTTCGGGTTCAGGGTTTCGGGTAGACCCGAAGTAAACTCCAGAAGAAAACTCCCCAGGAGCCCTTCTTTTCGCGACTCCTTGTGAGCAGCTTGGTCAAACCAACTGATGCGAGGATGCCTTCTCAGTTGGCCTTGGGGGTGATACATCGGCCACGGGGGCTAGGGTTTAAGTTTAGGGTTTAGGGTTTAGGGTTTAGGGTTTAGGGTTTAGGGTTTAGGGTTCAGGGTATAGGCGGTATGGGGCACAGGCTCAATTGCGCGGTGCTTTCTCCGGGTCGTTGGGTTTGGGGTCTTGTGGCGTGCTCAACTCGCAAAGGGGTGTAGGTAATCCCAGCATAGAGTCCCGTACCCCAGAGCCTAACCCTAAACCCCAAACCCAAACCCCAAACCCTAAACCCTAAACCCTAAACCCTAAACCCTAAGCCCTAAACCCCAAACCCTAAACCCTAAACCCCAAACCCTAAACCCTAAACCCTAAACCCTAAACCCTAAACCCTAAACCCTAAGCCCTAAACCCCAAACCCTAAACCCTAGCCGCAGCACTGCCCGGCGTACGGGAGTCAAGGATGCTGAAGCCCCAATGCTTAGACGGCACGCAGAGAGAAAGTGGGGCACACAGGCCAAGCCATGTGCTCCTGAGCGTTGGGTTTAGGGTTTAGGGTTTAGGGTTTAGGGTTTAGGGTTTAGGGTTGAGGCGGTTGAGGGTTTTCGAGGTCGAAGGCTTGTCAAGACGGATGAAATTTGCCCGGGCCGATGTCACGGTGGAACGATGGAAACATCAGGCTGGGATCCCGCAAGACCTTGTCACCGACAGGGTAACAAAGACTCACAGCGGTATAGGGTTGAGGGTTTCTTCGGGTTTCGGGTTAGGGTTTAGGGTAATTATGGTAAGCAATAGGGTGCACAGTACGCCCACTTGCAGTGAATACCGGTCCTAAAGCATGTCATGCAGGAGCCCGTGTAAAATCATGTCATCTGCATAACACAGAGGCCAACTCTCCACATTGGGATGCCATCTGCATAACAAGGAGGCGAACTCTCCACATTGGGATGCGAATTCACGTGCTGTACTTTACAAACAGCCGAGAAACCCCTACAGAGGGCAGAGGCAGCAGCAAAGGGCGTGCTGCAAGCTAACACGGAAAAGATTTTTTCTAAGGCTCTCAAGAGATGGGGCCCCAAAGGGTCAAGCAACCCAATCTTCCACTCCCACGATACGACAGGCTTCCCTAGACCCTAAACCCTAAACCCTAAACCCTAAACCCTAAACCCTAACTTAGGAACCTCAACCACCACAAACCCATAAACCGTTCTGAGCCCTCAGGGGCCCCCCATGCATGAAGCAGATAAAACTGTCTCAGGCGCCAGTTGCCTGCGGCCGGTGTCTATCGCTGGTATGGGGCTTCGGTTAGTTTAGGGTTTAGGGTTTAGGGCTTAGGGCTTAGGGCTTAGGGTTTAGGGTTTAGGGATTAGGGTTTAGGGTTTAGGGTTTAGGGTTTAGGGTTTGGGGTTCGGGGTTTGGGGTTTGGGGTTTGGGGGGGGGGGGGGTTGGTTGAGGGCTGAGGAGATTTGTAGAGTGTGCGTTCCTCGTGCGCAGATGGGGCGTCTTCACTCCCCCCCCCCCCCCCCCTCCCCACCGACCAGCAAAAAACATCTACATGAAACAAACTGTTTGTGCCCGAACCATAAGCCCTAAACACTGTTGCAAACCTACAAATCCTGTAACCGCTATGAACCGTATGCAACCCAAACCCAAAACCAAACCCAAACCCAAACCCGCGAGCAAAAAGCCCAAACAACAAAAGCCTAAACCCCCAACACCCCCCAAAGCCGAAAACCACTAAAACAACCCCAACCCCCCCCCCCCCCCCCCCAAAAAAAAAAAAAAAAAACCCTCAACCCAAACCCTTAAGGGTCTTGGGCCCCTAAACCCTAAACCCTAAACCCTAAACCCTAAACCCGTTTAGGGCCCTGAGACGCACCTCCGATGTGGACTCGTGGCGACCGGCGGCCTGGGACGTGGTGGCCTCCCGGGCCTCTCCGCCCTCCTAACACAGTCGGCTAGGGTTTAGGGTTTAGGGTTTAGGGTTTAGGGTTTAGGGTTTAGGGTTTAGGGTTTAGGGTTTAGGGTTTAGGGTTTAGGGTTTAGGGTTTAGGGTTTAGAGTTTAGGGTTTAGGGTTTAGGGTTTAGGGTTTAGGGTTTGGGGTTTGGGGTTTGGGGTTTAGGGTTTAGGGTTTATAGGGTACCGGGCTTGGAGGGTTTAAGGTTCATAGTGTCTAGCGCTTCTAGGGTTTACAGGGCCTCTTTGTGGCTACCCGCCAATCCAACGCTTTGCAGGGCTTAGAGTTTAGGGCCTTCTAGGGTTTCTCATGCTTAGGGATTCCGGGGCTTGTCGTCGTAGCCCAGTCACCATCTGAAAATAAGGGCCCTGGGATGCTCCCCCTTATACTAGCAGTCCTTAATCGGGTGGCCTCGATGATGCGGCTCCTTGATATTTCGGCTCTAGGGTTTAGGGTTGAGAGTTTCTCGAGTACCTCTTTTTTTTTTTTTTTTTTTTTTGGGGGGGGGGGGGTGGGGTAGATTCTGCCATACTTGGGCTAGACATGAGGACTCAAATACGTGGGCGCTCGCATATTTTGGCCTCCTTCTAGCAAGACACCACCCGTATACCACCTGCCCCCGACTTCGGGCAATGTCCTCAGGCACTGGGTCGTTCGGGCTGAAAGTTGGCGTCAGCACGAAGATCCTTGGTAGGCCGCTAACCATCTTATAATAGGGGTACCCTCTTTTGAGGTTGGTTCCTTTTTCCCTAAACTCTAAACCCTAAACCCTTTCTTCAGGTTACCCACTTTATAAGGGAACCTGGAACCAAAAAAAGTGGCAAAAGGCTACCACTGTGCTACCAAGGATCAAGGGTAGGGGAAGCAGCGTCGTGCAGGCTTTTACCAGCGAGGCAAGCGGCAAGTTGTCGAAGTTGTCCTGGGCACACAGGGCCTGGAGAAGAACCGCTCCAACCCTTTCGTGTTAACACCCCAAACACTAAACCCTAAACCCCGAACCCTGAACCCTAAACCCTGACCTAAACCCAAGCCAAACCCTGAGCGTCAGCGCCCCGCCGACCTTTCTCCCAAAATGAAGAAGTGCTCATCAGTAGCCATTCCATGATTGAACCCTAAGTCGTGGTTTAGGGTTTAGGATTTAGGGTTTAGGGTTTAGGGCTTAGGGTTGGTCACTTCTCCCAACTATGGTCCCTTTGTGAGGTTACGAATATAGGGCGGCCTCCGCCCAAGTACATGATGTCCCTCGCCACTTGCAACATGAGGGGGGGAGAATATACATAGCAAGGAGACCTTGCATCATCTACTCTATCCCCATACCCTATACTCTAAACCCTAAACCCTAAACCCTAAACCCCAAACCCCAAACCCTAAACAAACCCGGAAACCTTGTGAAGCCTGCAAACCCTTGTCCAAGGATGCGGATTCTGGCCAAGATTCTCCCTCCAGGCCCCAGACCTCGCACATCGTCACGCCAAGAAATCCTTGCTGAGGGTTTAGGGCTTAGGGCTAGGGGCTAGGGTTTAGGGTTTAGGGTTTAGGGTTTAAGGTTTAGGGTTTAGGGTTACGGGTTTAGGGTTTAGGATTCTTGGGGGTGGGGGAGATGTTTGGTTTGTGGTGCAAGGGGCTTGCCCTTGGCTTTCAAGGAGGCTCATAGCACCCTGCATGACAGTCAAAGGTCACTTGCCTTTGGGATGTTTTCTGAGACTTCATAACACGAAGGGTACGAGATTACCTACTCGGCACCGACAGAAGCCTCTGTCCGCAGTGAAAGCCTGGCGGGGGGGAGGACCCTCCTACAAAGGGACTGGTACCTCCCAGGGAGGGTGCTGGGGCCTCGAGGTCTGGGTTTTTGGGGAGCCTTAGGGGACACCAATAGAAGATTAGGGTTTAGGGTTTAGGGTTTAGGGTTTAGGGTTTCATGTCAAGGTCTTTTGCCCAGGCTCCACTAATGGACCAGCCCAAGTTGTTGATGGACAGGAGCGTCCTTAGCCACTGTGGACGCCGATTGCGGGAGGGCAAGGCTTCGCAAGTGTGCAGCCCACCCCTAAATGCTAAACCCTAAACCCGAAAAACCCTAAACCGTAAACCGCAAACCGTAAACCGTACACCCTAAACCCTAAACCGTACTCCGTAAACCCTAAACCCAATCCTCCTATCCGCATCGGCAATGTGGCGTTGAAGAACCGAAGACATGGAGCGCCAAGCTCCAAGCCCATACGCGAGGCATATCACAAGCACGCCGAATATAGGAGCTTCAAAATTAGAGTAGGGTTTTGGGGGTTACTATATTATAATATGGTATAAAAAACAAAGGGCCATACAGGGACCATAAGGGAAAACTACTAATTACTACCCCCGGATTAGGGGTTCACCCATCGCCCCACTTCCATGCCACGCCCCTTACATCAATGAGACCCCCGACATGCAGCCCTGAAGCCATTGCGGTTTGTATAGGGTTTAGGGTTTAGGGTTTGGGGTTTGGGGTTTGGGGTTTGGGGTTTGGGGTTTAGGGTTTAGGGTTTAGGGAGCCACGGCCCTGGAAAGTGAGTCTTAGGGTTTAGGTTTGCAGGCGTCCCCACCACGAAGAGGTCCTTGAGCGCAGCCTAAACCCCAAACCCAAACCCAAACAAAACCCTTTTTTCAAGAGACTTCGCCCAAAACCCTAAACCCTAAACCCTAAACCCTAAACCCTAAACCCTAAACCCTAAACCCCAAGGCTGCAGAAATCGAAGCAGCAAGCGCCGCGTGCAAAAAAGGTCAGACTTCGACCCTCAAGAGCACAACCAACGCTGGGATTTTAGGGTTTAGGGTGTAGGGTTTAGGGTTTAGGGTTTAGGGTTTAGGGTCAGGTACCCAGAGACTCCAAAAAAAAGCCTCACTTACCCTAAGCCCTAAACACTAAACGCTGAACCCTAACGAAATATACCTTGAATCATATTAGGGTTCCTATTCTGATGTAAGGGATATTCTCTTGATGAAGGGGTTTTGGAGTCTCTGGGTATTGTTTTTTAATAGCAACATAATTATACCATCGAAGACTGCATCATGCTATTGGTATAATATCACAATCACGTACTGGTACCATTACTACTAGTTGCTTAAGAACCCCCAAAAAACTAAACAAGCAGATTTCCCTCTCTTACCCTTATAAGGAAGAATATGTTCGTTAGTTTTTGGGGGTTCTTAAGCAAATAGTACCATTCGTCTGATCGTATCAATTTGTAGGATTTTTGGCTTGAGGTCCCACCCTCCCATCACAACCCCGAAACCCAAAACACCGTAAACTTTCCGAAGCTCTAAGCCCTTAGCCCGAAACCCTATCAACCCACAACCCTAAGCCCTTGACCCTTTCAAAAAAACCACGAAATGCCCATATGGCTGGCCTTTGCACCAAAACCCTACATCCTAAACCCGAAACCCTTGAACCCTAAACCCTAAACCCCTAAACCCCTAAACCCTAAACCCTAAACACCTGTTATTTCAGGGTGAAAAGCCCATTCTTGCACGTCCTCTTGGGGCTGTCATCCAAGTCGCGCGAACAGGGTTGCCTCGAGGTTCGGTGGGCAGACCTGCAGGTTTAGGGTTTAGGGTTTAGGGTTTAGGGTTTAGGGTTTCGGGTTTAGGGTTTAGGGTTTAGGGTTTAGGGTTTCGACTCTCACACTGGCGCAAGCGGGCGAGGCAGGGTTTGGGGTTTAGGGTTTAGGGTTGAGCACATGGGAGCAAAGGCGGCCTTTCAACAAGGGGCCCTGGTGCAGGGGATTCGGGATGTTCCCCCTTATACTAACAGTCCTTGATAGGGATTATAGTACTCCCGGACTCCCTACTATAATCCCTGTCAAGGACTGTTAGTATACTGCGGGGGGAACATCACAACAGGGGCCTGTTTTCATTTCACCCCAAGGCTAATTCAAGCGTTTGCTTCTGCCACGCACACTGCAGACACCTAAACGGTGTAAGGCTCGCTAAGATGCCACCCTACACCCTAAACCTTAAAAACCCTAAACCTTTTTGAACCCAGACTCCTGAAGCCAGCTGGGAAAGGCGTTCGACAAACTTTCTGTCTAGGCAAGCGTAGTAATGCACATACAAAAAACCCTAAACCCTAAACCCTAAACCCTAAACCCTAAACCCTAAACCCTAAACCCTAAACCCCATCTGGTGGCACCTCTGGGTGCAGAAGGCATGTTCGCGCCTTAGCCGCCAGCACGCACATGGGGATGTAGAAGAATCTGGACACCATCAGTCCGAACGTGTCGTCACCTCGGATCTTGGATCTCAACACCCTTGGCCAGCTCATGCTTCAGAAACTTGCGGTTTGGGGTTTAGGGTTTAGGGCCCCTCCCCCCCCCCCCCCCCCCCCCCCCCCCCCCCCCCCCCCCCCCCCCCCCCCCCCCCCCCCCCCCCCCCCCCCCCCCCCCCCCCCCCCCCCCCCCCCCCCCCCACCGCCCACCCACCGCAAGCAAGACACAGCGAAAGTGCGAAAGTTAAGCAAACCTTCCAATGATTCTGCGCCATAAACACCGAATCCTGCATCCAGTGAGGCCAGAACATCACATGCCTTGGCATTCCGGCCAATTTCAAGTCTCAGACACCCACGAGGAAAAGGAAATCTGGGATGCCCAGAAGGAGGTTCCAGCGCATCCTTGGGGGGTGTCTGTAGGGTTTATAGGGCTTTTACGGTTTAGGGTAAAGGAAGCCCCCCAGAGCGGTCAGAAACTTAGGGCTTCTTGGTAGCCCAGTAACCATGTTACAACAGGGGTACCCTTTTTGGGGTTGGCTACCTTATAAGGCTTGGAACAAAAAAAGGGCAAAGGCTACCGCTGAGCCACCAAGTCTTTTGGATGGTTGAACCACTAGACCCAACAGTAACCTAGACAAAAAGGGTGCCTCATAGGGGAACCTAAACCCTAAAAGAAGGGAATAAGGGTCTCCTCTGGGTACCCTAAACCCTACACCCAAAACCCTAAACCTAAACCCTAAACCCTAAACGCTGGACCAAGATTCACAAGCACAACCTCCACCAACTGGGCAAGGAAGAAGAAGAGTTGAGCTGTGAGGAAGATTCGACCTCGCAGCGTTTTGGGTGAGGGAAGCAGACTGTGAATCCTTGGGTTTAGGGTTTAGGGTTTAGGGTTTAGGGATAGCTAGGGAACCGACTCTCGCTCAAAAGCAGTAGCAGACGAGTATCAGACGGCCTGAGGGCCTTTAAGGCCTGCGATGCCAGGGGGCGGAAGGACCAATTGGTCATGAACTTGTTGTAGATGCACACCCCGACCCTGAGCACAGCAGTACTAGGCACTAGTCCTAAGGAGTCAAGGGATGCAAGGCGGCCTCATATTCCCTTGTTGAGGCTTACTATATGGGGCCCTCCTCCAGCGTACCGCGCAGCATAAACGGCAAACTTCGGGAACCTAAAAGTCAAAAGGTTGGGGATACCCTGCACGGGCGGTCGTATCTGGTGTTTGTCCAACAGTTCTGAGATGTTGTGGTGGAGACCGTAAGTAAACCAAAGAGCTGTTGCAGCAAGTGCTCTGTTGAAGCCAGAAGCAACGCGTACAACTGCTACCTACTGCAACTTAAAGCCTCAGCTTTCGGTCAGATGGAGGTATCAATGAACACCCAGAGCACGATAAAGCACGGAGAGCTCCTTAAGATTGCAGGCCCTGTGCAGCACTACTAACCCTAAACCCTAAACCCTAAACCCTAAACCCTAAACCCTAAACCCTAAACCCTAAACCCCAAACCCTAAACCCTAAACCCTAAACCCTAAACCCTAAGCCGACTCTGGAAAGGCCAGGAGTGCTGCTCAGGGCTTCGAGCACTCTGAGCTTCACCCGCCAACCAACCAAGACCCTCTCTAGGCGTCCGGTTTTAGGGTTTAGGGTTTAGGGTTTAGATCACACCCTGAACTACTGTTTGCTTAAGAATGCCACCCACCCACCCCCAAGAACCAGGGGGAACTAGACCCAAGAGGGACATAGGAATAGAAAGAAATCCCTTTTTTGGTGTCGAGGGGCTTTACAAGCGAACCTAAACCGGACAAAAAAACACGAGCACCGACGCTCGGTCCTAGATTACACCTAAACCCTAAACCCTAAACCCCAGACCCTAAACCTTATAACCCTAAACCCTTTTGCATAAACCCTGTTTGCAACAACCCTAAACCCTAAACCCTAAACCCACGCTAAACCCCTTTGCCTAAACCCTTTTTGCAACAACCCTAAACCCTAAACCCTAAACCCTAAACCCTAAACCCTAAACCCTAAACCCTAAACCCTCATTCCCTTGTGTCACGCAGCAGCAGACCGAGGGAGCCAAAGCAGTCCACGAAGCCAAGCTGGGCTGGGCTGAGCTGAGGGCCTGTGGCAGCGCAGGGTGCAGGGCTTTGGGGGTTGAACGCTTGGGGTTTAGGGTTTAGGGTTTAGAGTTTAGGGTTTAGGGTTTAGGGTTTAGGAGCCTGCAGGTTGGCAGACTGCACTTGGATCAGGGATGGCGAAGAAGACATGCCGCCAACAAAGTTGATGTTCTAAGTAAAGAAAGTTACCCTAAACCGTCCATGCCCTGCACATTACTAAGCATTCGCAACCATTCTTGCTCTCCTAGCATTCGCAGCATCTGCATCATAACCCTAAACCCTTGTTCAACACTAAGCCCTAAACCCTAAACCCTAAAACCTAAACCGTGAATCTTGCGCCGGAAGGGTCTGCGAGTCTGACTCCGGCCTCCCGGATACTTCGTTCGCCAAACGAACATCGTGTCCTGGGCACGGGGGCTTGCTTGGAAGGACTTGTGGCTTGGTTTTGGGCTCGCTTTTCGAAGGGCTGCTCTAAAAAGCATGGAAGCTGTCATCCGAAAACCCTAAACCCTAAACCCTATGCAGGGGCCACCGGCTACTTCAAGAGGTCGAGGGCATGGAGAGAAGGCATCGCAATCTTAAGGGTGAAGCCTCGGATTTGTTGCAACTTCGGCATCTTCAAACAGCCATAGTAATCACCTTTGTTTGATCCCCCCCACTTGTAGTTCTATTGTATTTTAAGGTTGTTTTGTTTAGAGGGGGGTTTAGGGTTTAGGGTTTGGGTTTGAGGTTTAGGGTTTGGGGTTTCCTAATGTTATGCTTCGCTTAACCTCTGCACGACGGGGCTCGCCAAGGCCAGTGTGCAAGCACTGTCTGAGGAACACGAAGAGTGCCGTCCTCGAGGGTCAGGCTTTGGTTTCCCAGCAACCATATTGGAACAAGGGTACCCTGTTTGGTGGCTAGCCGTTTTAAGGTAAAAAGGGTGCCACTGGGCTACCAAGCAGGCTAGGGTGCTTGGGGGTTTGGGGTTCAATCGCTCACACTCGGACAAGCCAGGCGAGGCAGGGTCCCTCTGCAACGCCCATTTGGGGTTTGGGGTTTGGGCTTTAGGGTTTTTGGGGTTTTGGGCTGATAAACCCTAAACCCTAAAGGGCTAGGCGGGGCGATGGCACATGAACCCACAGAAGACTGTTCCATACCGAGCTGAAAACTGTTTGGGATCCTGGTAGGCTTTCGGGTTTAGGGTTTAGGGCAAACTGGTATGAAACCCCCGCAGTTTTGCGGGTTTCTGATTTGGGGCTCCCAGGGCTTATTCCCGAACAGCTCCTGGGGCAGATCTCGGCGAACCTGAAAACCCTTGGGTTTAGGGTTTAGGGTTTAGGGTTTAGGGTTTAGGGTTACAAAATCAACTTAAGTCCCACCCAGCTCATGCCCGCGAACCTCCCCAGGAATGGCGTGATCCTCCGCTGCATGGTTCAGGTAACAAGCCGCGGTTTAGGGTTTAGGGTTTAGTTTGCAGGGTTTAGGGTTTCGGTTGGGATGCTCCCCCCTTGTACTAACAGTTCTTGATAGGGAGTTTTAGTTGGGGGGGGGGTACACTATACTCCCTAAACCCTAAACCCTAAACCCTAAACCCTACACCCTAAACCGCGCTTGGTTGCAGCAATGGGGGAGCATCCCAAGGTCTAGGGCTTAAGATCCTGACAACACCACACCCCTACAGGGTGGGGCCCCCTAGTTATAAGTAGAGTTATAAGGGCCCTAAATTGGGTTATAAGGACCCTAAGGTAGGTTATAAGTCCCTTAACTACAGTTAGTATAGTAAGGGGGCCACACCCCCAGAGTTCCAAGAACCTCTGCCCCTGCCTTTGGGCTCCATTTTTTCAGGTCTGCAGGCTCTTGTAGGGGGTCTGAAAAAACCCCCTAAACTCCCTGAGCGCTCTACACCCTATACCCTAAACCCTAAACCCTAAGACCTGAAAACCTCAAAAAACCCTCAAAAAGGTGGAAGGTTTCGGCCTGAGGATCCTGGATTTTATGCTTTGCTCCCGAAGAGCCCAAGACCCCTCAATCCAGGAATACCTTGACTTATGATAGGGTTCCTTGCTATGATTTGAGGTGTATTCCTTATGATTTAAGGTGTATTCCTTATGATGATTTAAGGCATATTCCTTATTATTTAAGGTGCATTCCTTAGTTAAGGGGTATTGGTTCTCCTTCCAGGAAGCGCGCTGAGGGGGCGAGGAGGGGTTGTGCGCTCGTGCGCTGGTGCTTTGTCACGACTCACGACTTGTACTCTTTTTCTTCACCCGACCCCGAACCCACCAGGCTGATATATGCCCAACCATGGATTAGGGCTTAGGGTTGATAAGCTTGGGGCGGGGTCTTGGGGTTTTGGCTGAGGGTTCAGGGTGCAGGCATGTGTACAAGACGACCACACACCCCAGAGCCCCCAAACACAACTCACAAGTTCGGCACAGCTGCTGCTTCAACGCCCGGAAGGACTGCACGGCCACGACGATGGCACAAGCCACAGTGACAATAGCCCGTGCGTGCTTGCTGGTGACAAAGACCTCTGGATTCTTCGTAGATCTTGCAGAGAGTTGTCGCGTTCAGGGATTGGGGAAACCTGGCGCTGGACCCCAATACCAGAGTATGGTCTCTTTTAATGTAAGACGGCACAAAATGATCTGGGATACCCTAAAAGGGACCATAATTTAGAGACTGACGATATATGCATATATATATATATATGTATATATGTATATGTATATGTATATGTATATGCTCACCCCCCCCCAATGGACCAACCGCGAAATGAAAAGGACAGGAAAAACTAGTTGTTGTTGTCGTGCTTTGTGTTTTGTTGCGTGTTTCGCCTTATTTCTTGTGCTTCTTGTGCATTTCGTGCATTGTTGCACTTTTCTGGTGTTTGTTGCACTTTTGCACTTTTGCACTTTTGCACGTGTTTTGCTTTTTTGCACTTTTGCACCTTTTTCGCTGTTTACACTTTTTGGCTTTTCGCACTTTTGCACTTTTTTGGTTTTTTTGCATTATTTTCATATACTGTGTTTTTTTTCTATGCTTGTCTTATGCATAGAAATCCAAAAATCCAAAAATCCAAAGTTCTCCGGACAATCTCCCAGGGATTTTTGGATTTCTGGATTTTTGGATTTTTGATGATTTTTATGCTTTTTCACATTCGAGGTTGGCTCATATTCGTTCTCTCTTTTTTTTTGAATGAAAGGAGGGCGACCATTCAAATGTACCCTTATCAGAATTTCAAATGAGTCCTACCTACTCCAAACGTGAACACTACATTCATCGCACAACTAAATAGCATATTCAATAAGATTTTGAATATGATGTTTCTGTATATGAGGACCAGGTAAAGTCTTGCCTATTCAAATCACTGAGAAAAGCACGTACATGGGTTACGCACAGGCCTTTGCCAAGGAGGCTTTAACAGAGAAGGCCTATATGTGCAAATATCGACTTTTGCATTTGAAAGAAGCTGAAATATCCTTTTTTCAATAAGAACCATTCTGGGATCACAGTACCTGCTGTTTAAGAAAAAGTCTATATCTCATGAACACCCTTTCTTTGCGATAACGATTTAGTTCTTCTGATCTTTTGATTCAAGCTCTTAATATTGCATTGCCCCCTGTGATTCTTGCAGCAAAGCCTGCTCGAATCGCATTCACGTCTTAACTACTCGATTGAAAACTGTATCAAAAAATCTAAGTAGCCTGTTCAAGAAGCCAATAAGGTTTTGAAAACATCCTACTCGAAAAGCCAACAAGAGGTTGAGCAGAAGAATTCAAGACAGTAATAGGGCTTGGGTCCAATACAGGGCTAGTGAACTGTCCCAACGGACCAACCGCGAAATGGAAAAGAAGTCCAAAAGTCCAAAAGTCCAAAGTCCAAAAATTCAAAAAATCCAAAAACCCAAAAATCCAAAAACCCAAAAACCCAAAAATCCAAAAACCCAAAAACCCAAAGTTTCCTGGGAGATTGTCCGGAGAACTTTGGATTTTTGGATTTTTTGGATTTTTGGATTTTTGGACTTTTGGATTTTTAGATTTTTGGGTTTTGTGTTTTTGTTTTTGTTATTTGTGCTTTTTCATGCTTTTTCGTGCTTTTTTTGCACTTTTTGCACTTCTTGCACTTTTTGCACTTTTTGCACTTTTTGCACTTTTTGCACTTCTTGCACTTCTTGCACGTTTTGCACTTTTTGCACTTTTTTGCACTTGTTTGCACTTTTGCACTTTTGCACTTTTTTGTACTTTTTGCACTTTTTTTTGTACTTTTTGCACTTTTTTGTGCTTTTTGCACTTCTTGGTGCTTTTTTAATCAACATTTTTGCAAATATTTGTCCTCTTGAATGTGCTTTTCCAATCCAAAAACTCCAAAAATCCAAAAATCCAAAGTTTCCTGGGAGATTGTCCGGAGAACTTTGGATTTTTGGATTTTTGGACTTTTGGATTTTTGGATTTTTTGGATTGGGAAAGCACATTCAAGATGACAAATATTTGCAAAAAGGTTGCGCAATTAGAAAAAAAAGCACAAAAAAGTGCAAAAAGTACAAAAAAAGTGCAACAAGTGCAACAAGTGCAAAAAAGTGCAACAAGTGCAAAACGTGCAAAAAAAAACAGAACCAAGCACAAAAGAACACACAAAGCACAAAAAAGCACGAAACAAAACACAAAAATGCACAGGAAGCACAAAAAGCACAAAGAAGTGGACAGGGAAAGCATGGCAGGGTACAGTGTCTCGAGAACTTTGGACATGTCGATGTGGGTCCATTGGGGTTAGAGGTTGGTCCATTGGGGGGGGGGGGGGGGGGGGGGGGCGACCATATATATACACAGGGGTATATGTAATAATTTTTACCGTGACGTTTTTGACATTGTTTGTTGAGCTCTGACAAGCACCTACACCCCCCAAGCCCAATGAAACCTCAGCCGGCCTGTACGGTCGAGAGCAGGGTTGAGACCAAGGTCAGCAGCAACGCCACCTTACTTTGCGGGGAAGAGACTCATGGCCACACCCTTGAAGGATGAAACCCTAAACCCTAAACCCTAAACCCTAAACCCTAAACCCTAAACCCTAAACCCTATATATCAACCCAAAACCCATACGACAGCTACTAGAGCGACAGGCGTACGCCGCACCAAGGCCCTGGTTGCTTGTAGTCTGCGGGAAAACTCGTCATTCTCAAGCCCTTGAAGACTTCTGAGCGAAAGTGCCTGCCCCGTAGACCCAACTAAACCCTAAGCCCTAAACCCTGGAGCCTAAACCTTAAACCCTAAACCCTAAACCCAGAACTGTGTTCGACAAGCAGCCGCTGACACAGATGGATGCTTGCGAAACTGGCTCCTTGGAGAAAGTCTCGGTTCTGCACTCTTGGACATTGCAAGGAGGTGAATTGTGGGGGACGCTGTGCTTGACATTGATTTGACCAAGTCAATCACCCCGCCTTAGGGTGCAAGGCCGCTTTA